CTCTAACTCAGTGTCTGTTATTTAGAGATGATATCAAATTGACGCCAGTCATCATACCTGGATTTCCCTGGCCTTATATTGAAATGGCAACAGGAAGGAAAAGTCAGTGTCTTTTCTGGGTTCATAATGTCTATTTGAATGTGTATACATTTTTTAAATAATATTTAGATTTTTTCTGCATCATCTAAATGTGCATTATGTATTTATACATTTATCCTTTCTCGTCGTCTTTTAACACGTCCAGTGTGTGTTTGTTCTGACAGCTCTCCCACACTGGGTTCAGCCTGCATTAATCATTGCAGCATGTATCTTCTGGTCCAGTATCCATCTCTGTGATCTTAACTCCACCCCTGTTTTGTCTTCGCCAGGCTCCACTTCAAAAGGTGGAGTACATTTCCCTGATGATGATGATGAAGACGTTTCCATTAACAAAAGCTGTGATGAAAAGCTTCAGGATAAAGTAATCACAGCTCTACCAGAACCTGATGGTGCATATCTTGTTAAGGTGAAAGAAATTGCTTTCCAAAAACAAAAAACTTGAAAAATAAACGAGAAAAAAACAAACAGTATATAAGATGTGTTGCATCCTGAAATCGTTGACTGCTAAACTCTGTATCTAGGTGGGATTTTTAAGGAGCCATCACAAATATGAAATCATCTTTTCTTTGCCGCAAGTCCCAACACTAGGCAAAGATGTCTCCCTTTCTCCCGCACTACGCAGTTCTGCAAAACCACGACTACGTGCAACACGCATTACACCACACACTGAGGGTATGTTTTTATAGTGTTCTTATGGTGTGTGAGGGTCATGTCAGAAAGATTGTGTTTAGTTGCACACACATGAAATTTGTACATGCAACCTATTTAATTTTTTTGTTCCTTTACAATGATTTGCATGCACAAAATACTATAGTATTGTACAGTTACAATAGAATATGGAATATATAACAATTCACGGCACCTTAATAAATGAAAAGTTTTACAAAATACGTGTTGCACTTGTAGGAGGAATGTTAAAAATGCATACAGAAAATTACCCATAAATATGTTATCATTTATTATATTTATATAATGTATTTCCAGAAACATTAGATTATGTTTAGAAACATAGATTATATTTTTTAACCAATATTTGAAATAATTTATAGATATTTCCTTATATTTAATAAACCAACTTGCATTCACGAAGAACACGTTATTTCTCAGAATGTTGTCAAAAATAATACAAATGTGTGTGTGCGTGTGTGTGTGTACTCATACACACACAAAATACCATATTGTACAGTTACGATAGAATATATACAGTACAATTCAATATACAGCACCTTCATAAATTTAATAAAAAGCAAACACACACCCAATGCACATTCTTTATTCACTATTTTATAGATTTGTAGAGTTGAAAAATCTTGAATTTTACTTAGAAAATTGGCATCTTGTTCCGACCAATTTATTTGAACGCGCATTGTAATTACAACTTTCCAACTCGTAAATATAAACTTCCCAGGTGGACTTGAACACACAATTAGACCAGTATTTACCATACAGATGGTCTTCTTTTATGTCACTTATCAAAATCTGCCTACAACCCTTGCATTCTCATTTATTCACATAAGCCCTATTAAAAGGTGTTCAATAGTTAAACAGACACTTTTTAAACTGTAGCTACATACAGGAGACTTATTACAGGGAGAGTCTCACTGGAGCAACCTGGGTTAAGTGCTCTGCTCAGGGGTACAAGATTAATGAACAGTACTTGTGATCTTGAAACCATCTTAATCTTGCTAGAGATTAAACAAGAAACCTTTAAGAAAATAGTCCAGATTTATATCCATTAGGCTTCCCTGACTCAATAAATGATGAGAAGTTTCAGAAAACTAGATACATATAGCTTAAACTAAGCAGTTACAATTAAAAACAATGTAAACAAGGTTGTAAAAGCGTAAGCGCTATCAGAACCGTTAATGTAGATCTAAGATCGCTTGTACACCTGACTGGTAATAAAACATCAAGCCAAATGCAAGACATCATGTTACGATCAATAGTCACACTCCTATTTCAGTCCGTCATCGATCTCTCCATTAGCTGAAACTCACTTAGCGCGTTTATAGTAGTGTCATTTTTCCCACAGTTGAATCTCTAGGGAAATCTTAGCAGGTTTGCCATATCTGAAAATACAATTTATATTTTAAAAGAAACTGCAAGCACTTTGCAGTTAGGTGATTGTTTCTCTATGATGATTTCAGTCTTCCAATCTTATCCTGGTCACTTAGGCGCATTCTTTTACCCATCTTTTTTATTGTCCTTGTCATTTTGTGTTATCTTTGTACTCCTCTGTATCTGTATTGATTCCACACATTCCCATTCAGAAAACTAGATACATATAGCTTAAACTAAGCAGTTACAATTAAAAACAATGTAAACAAGGTTGTAAAAGCGTAAGCGCTATCAGAACCGTTAATGTAGATCTAAGATCGCTTGTACACCTGACTGGTAATAAAACATCAAGCCAAATGCAAGACATCATGTTACGATCAATAGTCACACTCCTATTTCAGTCCGTCATCGATCTCTCCATTAGCTGAAACTCACTTAGCGCGTTTATAGTAGTGTCATTTTTCCGACATTTGAATCTCTAGGGAAATCTTAGTAGGTTTGCCGTATCTGAGTGTACAATTTATATTCTAAAAGAAGCTGCAAGCACTTTGCAGTAAGGTGATTGTTTCTCTACGATGATTTCAATCTTCCAATCTTATCCTGGTCACTCAGGCATTTTCTTTTACTCATCTTTTTATTGTCCATGACATTTTGTGTTGTCTTGGTATCCCTCTGTATCTGTATTCATCCCACTCACTCCCATTCATCTGTCTGTGCTCTTTTAAGGGGGAGCGAGGGTGGTTTGTGAGTACAGCGCTCAGCAGGAGGGAGTGGTGCAAGAGGAACTCACCCTGGTCAACAGGAGCAGAAGGGACAGCAGCGTCCGAGTTCGATTACAGGCCAGAGTCATGGGTGAGAGAGACACACACCAACTGGTGACCGATCTCTAGTCATTCATAAGTCAAGTCAAGTCAAGTTTATTTGTACAGCGCTTTTCACGATACAAATCATTGCAAAGCAACTTTACAGCAAATTAAGTTTCTACAATATTTAGTGGTAGCTTATCAGTGGTGACTGTCAATTAATGTACATATGGCAGAAATGTACGGTCTCAGACAATTAGCGCTTTATCAACAGTAACCAATAGGTCTGAGAGGAAATCTGTAAATTCTTTTAGGAAATCTGTATATGGCCCTGGTGGTCTAACAGAGCGTTCATGAGGTGAAGTGTGTCGTTTCTGGACCAGTATAGTTGCCTCTGCGTATTTAGTTCATTTCAATTGTTTCAAAGCAGTTTTACAGAAATATTAAGCTCGGATGGGAGAAAGTACTTTTTAAAATTAAATCCAAAAACGAAAATTCTCTTTTCATTTATCCACCCTCATGCTGTTCCAGTTGTTGTTTTTTTCAGATGAACACAAACTGAGAATTTTAGAAGAATAATCCATCTCTGTGAGTCCATATAATGCAAGTGCATAGATCCCTCAAAGTTGTGCTTTAAAAACTATGCAAAACGAACACAGGCTGTTATCCATGCGACCCCAGTTGATGAATTAATGTCTTCTGAAGCAAAAAAAACTACTAATATTGTAAATTTTAAATCAACCGTCATATTGACAAGTTGGCAAAAAAGCATGGTTTATGAAGTTGAAAAAGTACTCCCCTTTATTTTGTAGTAAGGATATAAAAACGTGCTCAATTTGATTGTTAGAACTGTTAAGTAACATTAAGTGAGAACAAATTGAAATAAATAGAAAATCCCCTCCACTAAAATAAATATATACATTTTAGTCATGAAACTTTAGATGGCGCAGGCTGATGGTTGTTAACGTAAACCCTCCATCTTCCCCAGCTCCACCTGTATAGATCTGCTAGTTAGTTTATATGCTATTTGTGCAGCAGCAGCAGTATGTCTTAAATACTCATGGCACCGTATCGCCGTATGCATTGGCAGTAGCAAGTTCCTGTACTTGCTTACAGCAATAATCTACAACAACAGCAGTGATCCTCAAATCTGGCTCGCGAGATCAACTTTCCTGCAGGGTTTAGCTCCAACCCTAATCAAACAACTATACCTGTGATTTTCTAATGATCCGGAAGACATTGATTAGCAAACTCAGGTGTGTTTGATTAGGGTTAGAGCTAAACTCTGCAGGAAAGTGGATCTCGCGAGCCAGATTTGAGGATCACTGAACTACAGCAATAACCAACAGCATCAGCAATTCAGCAGCAGCAGCATAGCAGATCTATTCCGCCAAGACCAAACACATTAACATTGTCATTACCATTACCATGCTAAAATCTTCCGAGAGTTGTCATGATTAAACTTTTTTTTTTTTTTTACAGATCGCCACCACGGGACACCAATGTTACTCGATGGAGTGCGGTGTGTTGGTGAAGAAAAACACACAAAATAATGACACAGAGAAGATGTGGTTAAATTGGTTTGCTTGTGTAAATGATGAAAATAAACCAAAATGAATGAATGCATATGTGAATGTGCCTAAGAATGTGAACAACCCATCTCACAACCATCCATGGAGGATCACAACTGAATTGTTCCCGCACTAAAATTAAAATAGAGCCACTATTCTAGAGTCTACGTATCACAGGACTGCTAATGACATCACAAATTCAACTTTAGTTTTTAACAGAATTTTAAAGGTTATGCGTTTTATTACAGTAGAATTCAATCAAAAAGCTTTTTTTAAAAGAAAAGCAATACCAATGCATTTGGCCAAGGACAACAGATATGTCACAAGGAAATAGTCATTAATTCACTCATGTTCACTACTATATATTGAGCTTCTCAGATGCCACAAACTGTAAACAAAAATTGTTTGGCTCAGCTAGTCGCCATTAAATTAATTACGTCATTAAATTTAGAATGTCTTTCAAGAACACTCAACCTACTTTATTTATTTATTTTGCAAGTACTTCCTGAACCTAATGCATGAAGATGGAATGTATGTATAATCATGTGCATAAAATACACTGTAAATACATGATTATATATAATCATGTCATCCTCTTGCTTAAATGCTTTGCAACCATAATCAATCCTTCCAACTTCTGTGATACATTTCTCAAATATGATGTGATTTGTTAATAAAAAAAAAGTAGGCTGTACAGTATAAAACACTTGTTGAATGCTTCATGCACAAATAATTTTGGGATATGCATTTTGATGCATTGGCCTACCCAAACATAACTGACATTATTATCATACCCAGGGGGAACGTAAGCAGTTTGAGGACAGTACCACCAAGGTGCAGGTACATTTAACCACTTACACTTACCGAACGCACAAGGGCTCTTCTTTGTGAGCATTCTGAGTGTGCGGTTAAAATCTAGCCTAGAGCGCCACCTGCTGTTAAAAACTAAGCTCAGAATCGATTCCAGAGAGAATCGCGATGCATTCCGATAATCTCAGAATCGATTCACGAATTGTGATGCACCGATTTATTGTCCCAGCCCTATTTGCAATGTTGAACTGCCTTTAGCAGCCTCCCTTTGCTCTTTCTCTCTGTCTCTGTCTTCTTTTTTGTTAAAGGGGTCATATGATGTTGCTAAAAAGAACATTATTTTGTGTATTTGGTGTAATGCAATGTGTTTATGCGGTTTAAGGTTCAAAAAACACATTATTTTCCACATACTGTACATTATTGTTTCTCCTCTATGCCCCGCCTTTCTGAAATGCGTCGATTTTTACAAAGCTAATCGGTCTGAAAAGCGAGGTGTGCTCTGATTGGCCAGCCATACAGTGTGTTGTGATTGGCTGAATACCGCTAGCGTGTGATCAACTATACTACAGCGAGAATAAAAGTTACGTCTTCTTTCTTTGCGTGAACATTTGGGCGGAGATATGCAAATCTTCCCACACAGTGACGTAAACATGTGGGGGCGTGTTAGAACCAGCTGTTTTAGGTAGGTGTGGCTGACTCTTAACTTAAATAAAGAATATCTCTTTGGATTTGAGACTTTAGGCTTTGCAACTTTACAGATCTTCTTTATGCACCAAGAGCTTGTAACACTCCAAAGAGAAAGGAAAAATTGAAATCACATCATATGACCCCTTTAAGGCATTTTTTTTTTGTCTACAAAGTGTGCCAACAGCCAATTTTGTGTTATTTATATTAGATCTGATCGGGTACAATAATTTGATTAGACATTCTAATTCTAAGAACGTGGATATTTTGTTGTTATCACTTTTAGAAGACCGAGAGCAAATCATTACCGACAGAAATACAAAAGCAAACTACCAAATTACTAATTCAGCGAATCATCCACTGACTGTAATGTGGATTGTAATGCATCTACCTGTTAATGCAACGACCTTCGGGAACTGTGGTCTCCACTCTACTCTCCAGAGAGCGGCACACAGATTGTGAGTGATGCTGCGGAGCATCGGGAAAACACGGAGCGGAATCAGCGGATCTTTAGCGGAGCGGGAACAAACCGCATTGAGCTGGGGTGATCGGGGGATTGGTGAGAGGGGCAACTCAGCCGATGAGGGCAAAGGGGCAGTGGCTCTAGCCACTGGGCCACCCCCCTGTGCACGGCCCTGCCCCTGTGCTTGAACATCATGCTCACTTGCATGACGGACACATGAATGGAACGTAAGAGGTAGCTGATAAACATGGCTGGTAAGGAAATATCGAGCTGTTGCTTTCCCAGATGTTATCAGAAGCAAGTGTTCAAAGTCACGTGGCATGAAAGGGACTGGAAGATAAGATCAAAGTGTGATTTTTTTTTAACATAATCAGACCTAATATGAAACGAATTAAAAATGATCACATCTGCTGAATCAACAAACACTGAGTGAGAACTTTTACAACATAATTTTCATTACCATCACCTCCTCCAAATCATCAAATAAACATAGATTCTTCATTATTATCTCTGTCAATCATGGACACATAATTATCAGCATCATCAACACGCATCAACTATCCTTGTTCGTCTACCACAGAACACACACACACTTAGCTAAATAGGTAAACACTTAGCTAAATCTAAATAGGAACATTTCATAGACTTCTATTCTATTGTCTTTATATACAGCTAGTACAAATTTCCACAAAATATTAAGTAGCCTACACACACACCTCACGTATATACAGTATACACAAAAACAGTATGAAAAAGTCCATGCCTCCCATTATTGATTGGTCAGATTTGGATCAAAAGTTTAAACAAAAAGTTATTTATTACAGCTGGGTAATGTATTTGTTAGAAAAAATAAACTTTTAATAAAAGTTTTAAAAATATGTTAATGATTTATTTTGGTCTCTATAGACCCAACTGTGAAAACTTCCGCTTCTGAGAAACATGAAAAGTAATGTGAAAGGGTCAGCGGTGCCTGCATGTCTATAACTAACAAATTACTTCATACATTCTATTAAAAGCTTTTTTTTGGTATCTTAATTTTTTAAGCACTGTATGGTTCATGTCCAGAGATACGGGAATTACATGGCTCCATGAATAAACTGTTAAATTGTACACATTTTCAGTGGTTAAAAACCATATGTCACTTTGTATACAGCTGATACTTTTTCTTTTATAGAGGAATACCTGAAGAACAGCAATGTTTATTTATCTTATTTCCCTCTATCAAAACAACTGCATGGAACATACCTGTCTAAGTGCCAAACTATGCATCGTGTTTAAAGAAGAATTAGTTTGAACTAGAAATGTATCTTCTTTTTCTCTCTATTGAAATAATTGCATAGAACATACCTGTGTGAGTGCTAAAAATATTCTTATTCTTATTTCTGTGCCTGTAACTCACATATCTTAATATCCTGTTATATTCTAGTTCCTAACAAACTTTTATTTTGGAATCTTAATTTTTAAAGACCTATATTTCAACCCCAGAGATATGGAGATCTCAAGGCTCCATGTCCAAATTGTTTAATTTTACCCATTTTCAATGGTTAAAAACCAAATGTGGTTTTGTGTTTATCCAATCATGACTGGTGTTGACACACCAAATATGAAAATAAGAATGTTAAACCTGGGTTTAGGAATGTACAGCGTGGCACGTCAGATTATAAATACACGGTACTGATGGTTGAAAGCAGTTCAACTGAACAAAATCCCTTCTTCCAAATATCCCTGAAACAGATTCAAATATAGAATCTTATGATTGCACTACTGAGAGCAAGTTAATGTGATTCAGTTTGACCATTTCAGTGTGTTCTTGGCACTCAGACAGGAATGTTCTGTGCATTTTATTTGCACAAGATGACAAGATGAATTTTTACTTTCAATATTATTTGTTCTTCAGATATTCCATAAGTATCAGCTGTATGCAAGGTGACACTTATTTGGTTTTCGACTGAGTGGGTCGAAATGGGTAAAATAAAACAATTTGAGCCGCATTGTTGAGATCCTCATATTTATGGAATTGAGCCCTATGTGTACTCAGCGTACTCAGTAAATATGCATGCATGCCATTTAATATGTTGAGGTTTCATCTCTATTTATATTTGCTTTTCTTCAGAAAACAAAATCTTGTGTTGTTTTTAGGGACATTTTTGAAATTTGGTTGATTTGACATGGAATGACCCCATAGACAAACCAATCAGACCAGTTTCAGTTACACTTGACCTGTCAGTGTTATTTATTACCTTAGTTCTTAACAAGTATTTGACTGTCAACAACTTGTCTGTAAGACTTTTAAGCATTTATCCGCTCTTTCCTCCCACTTGAGTACAGAGCAAGTTTTAAAATCACCTCTTATTCATTACATTTTTCTAAAATTGCTGACCTTTAAAAGCACTGCACCCTTCAGCCACTGTCACTATGACAGAATCTACTGTCATATTACAGTTTTATAAGTTTCAGACAAGAAAAGTACCAAGCCAAATATTTTTGTAACATTTCGGCGTCTTTAAATGTCATCATGAAATTACTTTCATTTTTTTGGAATCTGAATCTGTGACAAATCCTACTCTGTCAGGCTTGAACTTGCAAGACTCTTTTACTTCTAGATGTGATAGCTTGGTGTCATTAAAAAACATAATGAAAATAAATTTTTCACATTTACTTATTCAAAGGTGGACATTTCTCTCAAGAACAAAGGAGACCCATGCCATAGATGTTCAAGTTTTATAATCTGAAATAATCTGTCATAGGGTCATTAGGTGTTTCCTAACGCAGAAAAACCACACTCCACATTGGTGGCACTAAAGATATTTTGACCAGGAAGAGCTGCTTTTATATTCACACATGCCATTTTTGAACACAAGCCTGAAAATTACATGCTTATAGAATACTTTCAGTTTATGAATCTTTGGTAAATTACACAATTAATATCCAATCCAAGTCTGCAAATAATATATGTGCAGAAGCAGTGCTGAAAATATATTTGATTGCTTCTGTTGTTGTGTATATTTCATTATAGTTTTGGATCTTCAGACGAAATGCAACTTTAAATAAAGGCAACCCGAGTAAACACATACATTTATTATTATTACTATTATTACAGCAAAAATCCAGATGATCACCAATGAGAAAAACTAATTACCCCTTAAACTTCAAATCAGGTGCCACCTTAGCAGCAATAACTGCAACCAAACGCTTCTGATAACTGAAGATAAATGTTTCACAGCGCTAGGTGGAATTTTGTTCCACTCTTCTTTGCAAAACGTCTCAGGTTACGTATGTAAATATGGTTCCTCGAGGGAACGAGACGCTGCGTCGGAGGACGCTTCGGGAAAGAGGCGAAGGGAGATCAGAGGACTCATAGGAAATAGAAATAGCATCTACTATCTACCGACTGAGGGTCTGTTTCGTAGCAGGAAGACCTCTCTTAGGAGAACCATAGCATACGAGCAGTTGGTCCGCCCTTCTCCACAAGGCAGCTCTGTGGACGTATGCGTCCAGTGCTCGCACTGGACACATATAGTTTAGCTTCTGCTGGTCTGGATCCCCAAAGGGAGGAAAACTGAAGGCCTGGAGTACGACAGGCCGTGGTGTAGAGGAGAAGACCTTAGGAACATACCCCGCTCGAGGGAACAGAAATGCTTTGGCCAGACCGGGCGCAAAGTCAAGATAAGATGAGACACCTGCCAGGAAGGCCTTAGAGGCCGCCACACTTCTAGTAGAGTGAGCCTTGACCCCAAGAGGCGAAGGGAGATCAGAGGACTCATAGGAAATAGAAATAGCATCTACTATCTACCGACTGAGGGTCTGTTTCGTAGCAGGAAGACCTCTCTTAGGAGAACCATAGCATACGAGCAGTTGGTCCGCCCTTCTCCACAAGGCAGCTCTGTGGACGTATGCATCCAATGCTCGCACTGGACACATACAGTTTAGCTTCTGCTGGTCTGGATCCCCAAAGGGAGGAAAACTGAAGGCCTGGAGTACGCCTTCTTCGGAACTATGAAGTACCG